TCACAGGGTAGCCACGACGCACGTACCGCACGTACCGCACGTACCACACGTACCACACGTGCTGCACACGCGGACGCGGAAAACTCCCCGATGTGGTACGAAGACACCGACCCCCGCGAATCGATTTATCCCGATTGACCATTTCCACCTAGAATTACGGCGCCTGTAACGGCGATTGTTTCGGAACACGCTTTGTTCCTCGAGAAACGCCGTAATAGTTTAAACTGATTTAGTAATGTGGGTATTTAAATGCACGGAAGAATTATTTATCGAGCTACCGGTTCAACTGCACTTTACAGATTAATTACACACGCCCGGAGGGAATTTAATGAGGGAATTGCAAGCCTTTGCAGAATGAAATTTCGGTTTGAATGGAAAATGTTATTGACATAAGTGACGTTGCAAAATATTTTATTACGGAGGGGAGTAGGAGGGGGCAAGAAGATCTTGAAAAGAACCAGGATCAATTGCCAGAGTATCCCACGGGCTTGGAAGTAACCGAGGCTCTTTTAAGGCTAAATCCACGGATTTCGCGGAAAGTGTCGAAGAGGGAATAGCCAACGAGAATAACAGTTCGCGGTGACGGCCGTCCGCTCGTCGAATTACAAATTGGATTCGGCCCTGAAGAAGCGGTAATACCGACGAGGCTTCAGATCGCTCGATATTCATTTCCGGTCTCCGGCGATTCATTTCCATGCGACTCTTTTTTTTCTTCCGTCTCTTCCGTTGGCAGATTTCCTTTCATGGTGGACTTAAGCTTCCCTTCGGTCCCCCTTATATGTTTGTTGAAACCGATACCGGCAATGAGAAGTCCCCCTCGAAGTCTCCCTAGAGTTTGACCAGAGGCCAGTCTTTTTTATCGCCATTGGCAAATTTTTCAATATGGAAATAAATATTATTAACACAAAATATAGTGTCTGGGGAAACGCAGATATGTAGGCATCGTTCCGTCCGACTATACGCATCCCGGAAAGATACAAGCTGGCTTTATCGAGGCGCCTCCATTGAAGGGGAAATGTACCCTGCAGAATGCAATTGCGCTCAAGTACATACACACGGGCCCGCACAGAGGCAGGGTTTCGAGGCACCGAACTGTAAATATGTACTTGAAATGCGTGCGAAGTGAAGCCGTTTGTCGACTCGAGCAGCTATTTTAAAACGGGCCGGTGAAAGCCCCGAAAACGCGGCAAGCCGCATTGAAACAAACACCCCTTGCGCGATCATTGAATGCACTTCAATGATCCCGTCAGACGGGCCGAAAAATCGCGGCGGGACCTTGACACACCTCCTTCGCCGACTATTGAGGTAGTCCCGTCTTCCCACGATTCATAACGAGGTGCGACATCGAATAACTACCCCGTATATCGATATCGTCTTCTCGATTATCTCTTCAGCACCCGTTCTCGAATTTAGAGGAACTCTCCAGCGAGGTCGATTGAACGGAATGAAGTGTACCATCTAGAAAGGCGGAATCAATTGCGGGTTTTGAGCATCGCTCAATGCCCCGGCATAGGCATCGCACGTACATCGGGTAGACGCGCGTACACCGACCACGTGCACTTACACCGAGTACTCGCACGTACTCCGGGTACTTGCACGCACGGCTCGGTACCTCGAAGCGACTCCGCGTTGGCTGGCATATCGGCTTTAATAAATTTACACTCAGCATCCAACCGAACGCGCGGATGAAAGCTGAAGAGGAGGAGGAGGAGGAAAAGAAGAAGAAGAAGAAGGGGTCCAGGTAACAGGAGGCGGCAGGGAAATCTTTTCCCGAATTATGTTCCTCGCTCGCGACGCCATGAAAGGCACTCTTAATTTGGCGCAGCACTTTCCCTCCCCCGAGGAAATGTTCTCCCACAGGAGCGAAGCACCTTTCGAGGAAGAAAGTACACTTCGAGTACACTTCGAGTACACTTCGAGGGCCGATACCGACATAAGTACAGCTTATTTCCATGCAAAAGCATTCATCCGGTGACAATGGATGCGGCATTCCTAGGAGATTTGTACTCGCTAAACGAATTATCCTACGTGTCCCCATGGACCAGGGATTCCTGCGAAACCAGGACGGCCCGAAAGGATTTTTTGCGCCTCGCATTTCGGCTCCGAATTTTGACGAGGTAATAACGTTCACCCTTCTGTTTTCCACCTCTCGCAAATCCTTCCTTCGCTGCAGGGGTTCCTGCATTTACATTGCAGGAAGTTAGCGAGTGCACGCGCTCACGCACACACACGCCTAAGTCCATCCTTAATGGAAACCTCGTCCGCGACTGCCCACGCTCGTCCATTAGTTAACAACATAATTTGCAGAAATACCTCCGCTATGTGCAAGGGAGACCCGCCGTTAATTGCGCGGGAATTAGTTATCACGGCGAAGAACTAATTGCGCGACCGCGAACGAGGGCCTGATCAATAGGCGGGTATCGAGAAATCTAGGAGTCGACCGTATGCAAAAATTATTTATCGTCGTTAATATCCACAAGGCGTCTCGGTTACATCTTATCTTCTCGTTCTGCTATTTTCTATTCGCCCCCCATCATCCTATCTCGCGATATCGAAGAGAGGATCCCGACCAACTAAATCGATGCGAGCTTCTGCCCTCGGAGGGGCGGAATTTATCGAAGATAATAAATCGGTCGACATTCCGCCTCGGATTTCCATCATTACCGCATTCCACGGTGAGCTTAACCCGCGGGCACCCCCTTCCCCCCCGCGAATTGCAAATCGACTAACGAACCAGGAATTGCAAAAGCAACGCGAATATCGCGACTATTCGATCCGCGAGCGTAAACGTCGATATTGGCTCCTCGGACAAATTGCTTTATACGCGTGTGCCGTTGATTGAAAATGTTCTAAGCCACGGCGATAATAAGAATCGCAGGAACTCCCGTGCAATCTGGTTCTAATTACGTGTCTAGCAACGCCGGGCGAGGTCATGTTCGATTTACTCCGGATAATTGCGAAGGAACGAGATCCGTTCGCAGATGTGTCGGCAAAAAGATTCGCAGCCCGGTGTCGTGATACATCTCCCGAGGGATGTCCAGGATGCTGCCTCCTTCCCCGGGCTCTAATTATATCGTCCCTCGCAATTTCTGGAGACGCCTCCGGGATGCCAGCGCGTTTTCGCTCTCTTTCCGAAGGGAACGGAGGCGGTAAATATTTATTACATCCAACGAGCCCCTCAGGGTTGATCTACACGATTTGATCGTTAACGCCGATTTGTCCCCTAATTAAGACTAATCGACAAACCTAGTCATTCTTTCACCCCAAGACAAAACGGACCGGCAAAATGTATCCGAATTTAATTGTGAATGAAGCTGGATTTAAAACACAAAATCCCAACTAACAACCATTAGGTAAACCGAGCGCTCTAAATTTAACGAGAAACTCAACAACGGATTATTTACAATGCGGCCCAGTTACAGCCTCCCACTAATGAATCCACCTTGTTAACATTCTATAAACGAACGAGGTAGACAAAATTTCCAGTCTGACATTTTCGTTACATTTACCTGAATTCTGAATTATTTTCGAGCAGAGGAGCCTGTGAAGAAGGAATGGTAGATCATAGTCGAGGTAATTCGAGACATGATCGGAGGTACTAATGGTCCCGATGACGCGTTCCATCTTGGAGAATCGACGGTAAAAATTGAAGAGGGATTTAAATATGAAAATTCCAATTTTTTTTTTTTGTGAATTTACTAGATAAGTGCATCTCGTTATACAGGAAACGTAGAGGCGAGGCTAATGGCGTAACCGGGAGATCTCGGGACGACGCTACGAGACGAGGGGGGAAATAATAAGTTATCGGCCCGAGAGAAGGAGAAAGAAAGACCCCCCAAGGAGTAAAGCCGGAATGCCGGCCTTGAGCGGAAACGAACGAGCACTATAGCGCCACGCACTATGGCGTCGCTCTATAGCGAAGGAAACACTCTAGAATCTAGATTGCTGCCAGTCCTTGCCCCACTTGACTCGAGTTCACCCACTGGCGGTGCACCGTGTGCGCCTGCACTTACATTACCAGTACTTCTCGCGCTACGTACGTACGCGCGGCCACGTGTACGCGAACTGTCATTAAAAGTCCCCGACCGACGTTGCGCCACGTCAGCCGACGCCGCGTATGAAGCGCCGGCCAATAAACTGCCTGGCAAGAATTCAATTAGTATCGGCTATTCATCGTCGAAATGCTCGCCTCTAACTTACAATTACCACGCGTGGCGCAATTAAGCCCTCGACGTGCGTGGCAAGGGGAGGTTTACTGCAGAAAAATCCTCCATACAAAATTCCCAACTAGGTACAACCTGGACGAGATTTTTAATAAACATATGTCCGACGCTTTTGGGCCACTTTTTAATATTCAATACCATTAATCTCGAATATCGGTCAGGCTTAAGTACGACCTAGGTACTCTGTTAAAATTATGCAGATTTTATATCGCGTTAGGTGCCCACCGTTAAGCACTCGCCCGACCTACATCTCGGATCGCGCAGATGCGGTTTTCTCAGCGAGGTGATTCATTGCACTTAAATTAACACTCTGCACACCTCGAATAGTCCCGCTCGGTTTTAAGGCGCACATCCGGCGCAATGCCGGATTTCTTGCAGGCCCCGACAAGCCGGGAAGTTCGCGCTACCTCTGCCTCGGAGCAATTTGATTAATATCCGGGAAAACTGCATTCGACAAAAGGAGCCCCCCTGGGTGCGCAAATTTATGCACCCTACAGATGACGTGTCCCCGCGTTAGAGAATTCGTTTAGGAGGGGCAAGTCACCGATTTCCCTCTCGTCGCATTTTCTCGACGTACTTGGGACGCGAGTCACGGCGTTGCATATCCAATGCATCGAGAGGATGCATCTTCCGTTCTCGCGGGTAAATTAACGGCGTCGCGTCGCGCCGATGCCCCTCCGCCGCGTAATCCTCTCGGCGATTCCGCAGCGTTGCAGCTGCGGAAGCGAGAATCAGATTGCGGGGGTAGAAAGGAGAAAAGTCATACAAAAGACTTACCAGGTGTGTGGCTGCAGGATGGTCGGGGGTGGGCTGCTGCAGGGCTATTAGCCGGCCGTGCTTACGGGGCGCATAAGCGCAACCTCCGCCTCCGGACTGCTCCAGCTTTGCCTCTGCATTCTGCAACACGCAAAACGATTTCGGATTTATCGACACCGCCTTCAGAGATTAGGTCAATACTTCGTACACTTAATTACGCGCTCCATTGTACTCGGTCTGTAGAAACGGTACGATAAATGAATATTTATTGCTTCCAAAAATAGAAAGAAGATCGTTAGGTACACTTTCCTCAAAGGAAGGTTATTTCGTAGTAGCGGGATCTCCCCTTATTCCCACTGTTTTCCTGTCTTTATTTCTTATGAAATAAATTTATCCGAGCTCAACGGAGGCGGGTAAGAAGGATAAAAAGATAAAAGAACGAGAGTTATCGGTACAGAGTGTACTCGTAAAGGACGGAGCACTCCACGCCTTGTTCCCTCACGCGAGAAGGAAACAACCTCGGCTCGACCTTCGAGATACGATATCGCCCAGCGTCTTGCACAATCCGACGTCGAAGAGCGCAAGCTAATAAACGATAAACCTACCACGGAACAATGAAACGTGTCACTGTAAACACCGGAACCCACGAGACATACGCGACGTGCCGTCGATGCAATTTCGCGAAGACGAAAAGTTGTGTCGCCACGATTTGGGCACTCTAGGTTACCTACCTTCATCCGAGTTATTCTACGATGGTAGTAAATAATAACATCTCTACCGAATGATACCACGCACTTCGTTACTTTCAGTTCAATAGTTTTACAAAGACTAATTCGAGAAGAACTGGGTAACTCTAAGCGTCCGCGGAGCGAATCGCGAAGAGGGGGTAGCCTTCCAATCATTGGTCCTTATCACTTATCCCTGAGCCTATAAAATTCGGGCTCGTAATCACTCCTGTTCGACCGTGTACAGATCGGAAAAGGGATCCAGGATTCCGGTACTTAACGTTTCAAGGTTCCTTCTTTACTCCCCATACATTCGATTTGGTCGATAAAATTTAAGGGATCAACAAAGGGCGTATCAATGCGTGAGGCGTAAACCGAAAGAATGGAGGAACAAGGAAACTCGGGAAAAACAGGTCTCCCCTCCGAGACCCCGATAACGTATCAATATGCAATGCCCATGTCGAGTAATACGTATTTTTTACCCGCAGTTTCCTTAGATTTCTCTGGACGTTCATTTTCTCAAGCGCAGCGAGTACGCTCTTTAAATGCGATCCCCCTTTGAGCAGAAAGCGAGGTCTAAAGGACGAAGGAGAAGAAGGGAAGTTTTCGGTCAAGAAACACGGAGAAAACCCCGTATTGGATTTCATATTTAATGCAGTACGTCGTGGCGCGCGGCTCGGAATATAAATTATTTATATCTGCCGTTCAGCATCTCCGTCCTGGATCCACGGCGGAAGGCGGGAGCGAGGAGGACGAAGGCTCGAAACCGCGGAACAAAAGATCGACGTCTTTTGGCTGTCCTCCCCTGCTCTCCTTTTTGCCGTCCTTTCGGCTGCCCGTTTCGATATCCGTTTCGCTGACGCCGAGAACGGAGGTCCTGGAGCGGGAATGGGGCCAGGAGAAGCGATAACGAGCGATCTGTTAACTAAGTGGAGGCTGTAAAAGGGAGGCAAGGATAAACGTTATGGGAAGCAGCGAGGAGGAGTTAACGGAGTTACGAGACTCTTGGGAAAAACGGTTACATTAATTTTCATACTTTTAAAAATGAGATGTACCGAAAGAAGCCCTTTAAATCGACCTTGTCTTGGACTTTATGAATTTTATCTCGTAGATTTTCGTCGCCTTATGTTTAAACGTATACCAGGTGGAAGGGCAAGCATTAAGCCCTTTTTCCATGATTTTCGGTAAAATTTTATATGCGGTGGTTTGCGGCGGCAAGAGAAGGAAGAGATGACACGAACCGGGGGACAAAAGATGGATGTTCTTCCGCCGCCGCTTCCGCCGTTCCGTTTTTGTCGGTCTTTTCTCCCTCCTTTTTTTTTTTTGCCAAAAGTGACAATCTTGCGCAGAATGCCAGGAACCCTGTACAAAGACGACTCCGTGACTGGGCCGAGAAACCGGGAAGGATCTCCGATAAGTACGCGATGATCTCTGGATAAACGGGAACCCTAATAAGTCAATACCTGATTCCATTTCTACGAAAGATCGGGTATAAGTACCAGGCATGTCGACTTTGAATTACCACCGGCTCACGTCGACCGTATATGACCGAATAGCGTGAATAAATAATGCTCCAGAGACAGGGTTATAAATCGCGGGAATTTTTTAAGACTTTTTCCACGTGGGAAACAAGACCATCCGTCGCATTATGGAGCAACGATCTCACGCAGAATGCCAGGAAGCGAATACTGTCAATACCGATCGATCGGATAACCGGTTCGCGCGAATGTCGAGACAGGTAACTTATCCCTGGTTCACCTGTCACTGATGAGACAGAAAGGAGGCGCGATAAACGATGGTTGAACCGATACACGGCGAAAAGTCGATGCACCTCTTCGCGATTAACCCCTTGCCTTACGATTTAAATTTCAATAGCGCGTGCCATAAACAACAAAAATGTCGGTCATACATCGGGCCATTTCACGGTTTGGCTAAACGTTCAACGTCTCACACGTCTCTCATACGTTTTCTTTACATTTGACCCGATCGACATGCCAGGTCTCTCACACATTATTGTAAGTTAAGGTGAAGTGAAACACGTCGAGGAACTTGATCAACGTCAATAAAGAAGATTTTTCTAAATGCCTACGTTGCCGACGTTCGTTTTTATATTGACAGTTGTGTCGAATTATATTGTGTATTGTACCAAATGGCATATTCCACCTGTCGTTTTCGTACAATAATTATAAAGAAATCGAAGTAAAACTCCAGAAATCCTCTGGATTCATGCCTTCTGGGGCTCTAATTGACTGCAGAGGGACCCCCTGCGCTATCTATGATTTGCAGGTCAATTAAATCTTCACTTCGAGACCTCGTATTCCCATCGTTTTGGCATACAAGCGCATACAACACTTTTTTTGCCTTTATCCCGTTCAAATGCGAGTTTATCGATTACCAGAGTGTTCTAAATTGTCGTAAAATTGTCCTGACCCTTTCGATTCTCATATCAGAGCCTTCGATAATTGTATATTGATCGAAATATGAGAGCTCGACGCCATTTTAGTTCTGGTCTGGACTGAGTTAAAAAATTTGTTTGAAAAATCCAAATTTTGTATGTGTCAGGACAATTCTTAGATGATCAGGAGTGATGTGTCAAAGTTTCGGACAGTTTGGTCTAATACCCTTAAAAAAAGTGTTGTATTCGAATCGACTGATTTGAAGGATGTTTCACTTCACCTTAAGAGGTTAAGCTCCCATCGATTTTGATCGACCCCCTCCGACGCTTGGCAACTCGCTCACATTTATTAAATCACCCAAGCGATGCACGGAATTTTCCTCCCTTCATTTAATTATGAAAAATATATATATCAGAAAATTATCAACAGGGCATTCGAAGCGAGATAACGTGAACTTTTGAGAAGCAAACGCGAGATGCAGGGGAACGGCATTTCGCGGTCTCGTCGATAGCTTCATCGATCCGTGGAGAGGCCAATAATGGGAGGAAGCGATGGCTCTTCACCGACTCGGGGGATTTATTAAGTAAGGAGCAATAAAGGGGCAAATCCGACGCCCTAGAAATTACCGGCGCAACACGCGCGCGGGACTTTGTTATTAATGGCTCCGTAAACGCGGTTCCGTAATAAGCGGCATCCTTTCCATTTCGGTTTCATTCCTGACACGTTCCTCCACCCCAGATCTTCCGGCAGTCCCTCGCCTTATTTCCCCCTTCCCCGACGCACGTTCGTTCCGCGTCCTCCCCCAAATATGCATTGCCGCTTTATTTCACCCTTAACTCCAGCCGACCGTCACCCCACAACCATTACACATCTTAAAGAATTCCCACAAAAGGTCATAAATTGTCTATATTTTATTTCTCCCCCCCTCCGCACTTATCACTTTATCCCTCCAATCACCGTGCCCGAATTCGCCACGCCTAAAGGAAATCATTCACGCCCCGCGAAGGGAACGTCAGAGGCGAGGTTCGATAAATTCGTTCGGGCAGCATTTCAAATTCCGTCCGCATAAGCGGGACAATTTGTCAGGTGGTCCACGGACGCGTTGTCACACGGTGTTTAATGTTATTCGAGTCCGCCCCTCGTTGTCGTCCTCCTCGCCGACGAATTCGCGTTCCTGTTAGCCGGCGTCGTACGCGCGTTATGCGCCCGTCATTCCACGCGTGTGACCGAAAATTCCGATGCGGCTGTTCGGATCGGCAAGTAAGGCCGGTATGCATGTACACATGCGCAAAACCCACATCCACGCGCATAAGACGGTACTCCGTGGCGCATCCCGGCGAGCTGCGCGTGTTCGGGTGCGCAAGCGTCGTAAAACGCACACTTGCTCGCTTACACGCATAGCTGGGCGTTATAGGCGCATACGTGCATGCGTCGCGGCGCGTTATGGGCGTACACCTGTACGCCATACACATCGTCGACGTTGGCGTGCATAAGTGCACACATAATTTCCCGCATACGTAGCCACCGTTTGCGCAGCATCCCCGGTCCGAGTGATCCGTCCAGCTGCCACTCTCCCGTGTTCCCGCGCGTGGAAACTAACAAGGAAGGTACCTGAGGTGTCCCCCTCCGATTTTGTTCAATTTTAAATATGTTATAGAGGACTAAAATCTAAGGGACCCGTGTTTTTTTTTATCGGCGGATAAACACTTTTAGGGGGTGAAATCAGGCTTCAAAGTTGGCCGTGCAAGGGGGTGAGTTGGCTGTTTCATATAGAGGCACTCGACCGATTTTCATGAAACAACCGTCAATATGTAGGGAATGAAGAATTATGAAACATGCATTTGGAATTTGTCGAAAAAATTCATTTTTAAGGGGTGAGCCACCCCTTTGAATACTTCTTTTACCCCTTACGCGAGCAGTAATAGTTCTATCCTAATGAAACTTTTTTTGTATTGTTCTGGTCTATAAATTAACCAAGTTTCATTTGGATAGAGCAATTACTGCTCGCGTAAGGAGTAAA